AAAAAAAAAAAAAAAGGACCAAAGAAATTTGGAGTTGAAAAGTACAATAACGGAAATGAGAAATTCACTAGAGGGCCCACAATACCAGATTTGATAGTGGAAGGAAGAATCAGTGAACTTGAAGTAAGGTCAACAGAAATTATCCAGTCTGAAGTAAGAAATATTGAACATACAAGCAGAAGATACAGAAAGTCCATTCTCCATAACCATACTATAGTGAGATAGCTAGATCCGATCCATACTATCATTGTACCAAGCTGGTGAGCCCTGTTTTCAGGAAACATTCCATTCATAACCTCACTAGATTTGCCCAGAAGAGGCTCTAATAAATATTAGGAGAGATGAAGCCAACTTACGCAGAAAATCTACTCAGTTTATTTTCTCCTTTATCCTAGAGTAGAACTATAGTGATATGTTGTTGTTGTTGTTTGCCGTCAAGTCAGCCCCGACTCACAGCGACCCCTCCTTGGGTTTCCGAGGCAGTATCACTACAGAAGTAGGATTGCCCACCTTCCTTCCGAGGAGTGGCTGGTGGGTTTGAACCGCCAGCCTTCTGGTGAGCAGTCAAGTGCCTTAGGCACTATGCTACCAGAGCTATAGTGATATATACACTATATATACATCATGCATATAGCAATGGGAGCTCTGGTGGCATAGTGCCGAAGGCATTTGACTGTTAACCAGAATGCTGGCAATTCAAACCCACCAGCCACTCCTCAGAAGGAAGACTGGGCAATCTACCTCTGTAGAGATACTGCCTCGGAAACCCAAGGAGGGGTCACTATGAGTTGGATCTGACTCCACAGCAGTGAGGTTTTTTTTTGCTTTGTTTTTTGGCATATGTTGTTGTTGGTATGTGCTGTGGAGTTGGACTCATAGCAACCCCTTCTTGGGTTTCCGAGGCAGTATCACTACAGAAGCAGACTGCCCCATCTTCCTTCCAAGGAGTGGCTGGTGGGTTTGAACCGCCAGTCTTCTGGTTAGCAATCAAGTGCCTTAGGCACTACGCTACCAGAGCTCTTTT